TATGTTTTGGAAAAAAGTATAGACCCGATATAGCAGCAGCTTATTCTTGTAAAGCATATCCTGGCGACAAGTCATGTAGATTGAATCCTTTCCTAAAGGAAATTGTTAGATTAGAAATGAAAAAGAAAAGAAATAAAAGTATTGAAGAAGATGATTATACTAAGAAGAAGAAAAAAAAAAGGATGTACAGCATCGCTGATTTTCAACCTTGCGGCGATGAGCAAGGTATGAGCGTTTGCGGTGGTCCATGGGGTACTCGTAATATTTTATCTCCTAAAGAATTGGAAGAATTGGAAAGACAACGAAAAGAAATCTTAATGGTAGATTTTTCTCTTCTCGTGAAAATAATCAAAATATAATATATAGATTATTGTTGATGTAATTTAATATACAATGGAATCGACGGTCATTCTTTTTTAGGGCCCACCCTGTGGAATAAGACCAGGGCGTGCTGTTTGCGAAGGACCATTCGGTGAAAGAATACCACAGCCAAAAAAAGACAAAATAAGAAGTGCCGAAGAAGAGGATGAAGAGGACGAGGAAGAAGAAGAAGAAGAAGAGGAAGAAAAAGAAGTAATAAAACAGCAACCTGTTCCAATGAAAAAAGAGAAAATCCTTAAACGTGATAAACTTTGCCATGCTAGTCCAAAGACCATGGCAACCGAGAAAAAGATTGTTAAAGAAAAAGTTACCAAATTTATACCCGATCCGGATTATCATGGTTACGATGATCCATGGAACATTTTTCGTACTGCACCGTCAATTAAAGAAACTATTACGGAATATGAACAAACTTTGAAACTTTCGACACCTAAACCACGATCGGATCCATCTCAACCGATTCTTGAAGTTTTGAAGAAGAGAAGGAAGAGGAAAAGTAGTACTAACAAAGAATTCGAAAGTTTCAAATCTTTGTCAACATTTCCTACAGAAATTTCATCGAAAACTATTGACGACGAACAACATATTACATTTACAAAAGTACCTTCGGATAAAATTAAGAAAGAAAAGAAAAATATAAAACAGATTAAAGATCTTAAAAAGAAACAAACGGTTCCAGCAACGTCAAAGAAAAATTTGCGAAGGAAGAGAACGGTAAGTTCTTCGTCAAAAGGAAGTAGAAGAAGAAGCACAAGAAGAAGAAGTAAAACAAATTTCTCTTCGAGGAGAGGACTTTTACGAACAAAAGATAAAACTAAAAGTATTATTAATACTGACCAAAGTGCACAAAATACGATAGCAATTGTAAAAAAGAAAGAGAAGAACGAAAGGTTGCCGAAAATGTCTAAAGTATTGATTACAAATGATGGTAATTTAAAATTGCATAATAAGATAAATAATGACAATAAAAAGAAATTGAAAACCGAACAAGAATCTTATCCGAACGATTCTACCACCGAATTCAAAACTTCCTTGAAAAACAATTCAATAAACAGATCTCACGATGAAAAACCGAAAAAAGGAAAAAAAGGTGAGAAAAATTTGAACATAAGAAAAAATATATCTCCGTTTAATTTGGAAATGAAAAATAAAACAATGAGTTCATCGAAATTACGTAAAGCCTCGAAATTTAGCGTGGTAAAAAGATACCATACAAAAAAATCGATAAAAGATGACAAAGTTATCCTTAAACCGGAAGATATTAAGCAAGAAATGAAAAGATTGAAGACCATGATGATGTCACCTGACACATATCCTCATAATATAGAACCAGTTGTTCTTCCTTCAGAACCGCCATCTTATTGTAAACACGAATACAGAGATTATTTGGAAAATGAATCGAAAGATCCAGCTTGTGAAGAAATTGTCAGCGAAGTGAAGATATCAAAAAAAGGTCCCTGCGGTTGGAGGACCAAATCAGAACAGGAATTGCCTGTTAAAAAGACTTTAGCTTATTTGGTCGATCCGGATCCACCTATTGAAATGATTCCTGTGAAAAAAAATGGGAAAGCTTGTATTTGTCGAGAAAATAGGAACAAGAAAAAGATTTTAAAGTATCAGATTGGTGGATCAATTGGAAAAAAGAAAATTGAATCGACGAAACTCGATAAGATTGTTACGAAAAAAAAGGAAAATAAGGAGGAACGTGACGACATTAAAGTAATAGACGGTGTTATTTATTATACACCACCAGCAAGTCGAAGAAGAAGCGACGAGTACGTTCCCGAATACGATCTTTATGAGTCACCTTATGAAAAATGTGTTGATCTACGCAAGGATAGTTTTATTAATCTCTTAGAAAAATACACGACACCTCGAGACGTTATGTCAAAGATACGAGATAATATCAAACCTTGCGATTGTAGTAATTACTTGGATACTTACGGTGTAATAGGTGAACATGCAGAAATAGAAGAATCTAAAAGATTACTGAAGGAAAGAGAAAGATTGATGGAATCTAAATCACCAAGGGAACGATGGGCTCTAGCTTTGAAGGATAAGGGTTTGATCGATTATTACGCTGGTTGTAAACATAAAGTACCATGTTGGACTACATGTGCTAAATTCAATAAATATACCTGTCCTCTGAAACCACGAAGATTAAGCGTGAAAAAGCCTGTTTGCGAGTGTAAATACGAGAGAAAGATAATTGAACGTAAGGAAGAAAGGATAAAGTGGAAGGAACGTGAAAAAAAATTAAAAAGCTTTAAAAAGAAGGTTTACACGAACGTACAAAATATTTCAGGACCCATGAAAGCTGACACGAAATTGATTATATCTGACGTTAAAAGAATCCCTAGGGATAACGAATACATAGATGATATACAATATTGTATATCAGGTGTAGCAGAAAATTATACTATGGGTCCAACAACAACAGTTGTGGAAGGTTTAAATATGGGAACACCTTTGCATACACCAGAACCGAGTAAAGAAATCATACCATGTGTTTGTTTGCATAGTCATTGGTCACCGACAAATATACCACCTGGACCATTACCTAAAAAAGAACATGCCTTGATAGAAGAAAGAAAACGTAGAAAAGAGTACTTGGAAAAGGCAGCACGAATGATTTATGGACCAGACGATGAATTAAATCATTCTAAGGAATGGTATCGCAGTTGTAAAGTAAAATGCGAGCCTGTTAAAATGCATATTGGCAGACGAAAAACAAATACTAAAGAAATGGAAGAGAAAAGTGAACATAATCAATTGATCAGTTCAGTAAAACGTGATACACGAAAGTCTTTAGATGCACAGAAAGCTTCAAGTTATGATAAAAAGGTTGTAAAAAAAGTAGAAGAAGGAACAAATGATAATGCAAATTTAAATCAAGATAGAACGATGATTACAGAGAAAAAGATGCACGAAGAAACGAAGAAAGATAATAAAGTTGTAGTATCGATAAAAAGAAATTCAATAGAACACGAAGATCGTCAAGATAAAGATGTTAATATTGTAAATGTTAGTTTGGAGAATTTGATAAAAGTACGAATAATTATTAATATGATGAATAATCAAATATTCGATATTAAATTCAATGCGTTGACAACAATTTCCTTTTTTTTGTTTTCTTTTTTCTACAGAAAGAATTGAAAAAAATGGCAACGGAGGGATTTCTTTTTGCAAAGCTACCAAAATGTCATAGAATGCAACAAATTCAAAATTGGATTATGTATAGGAAAGGATTCGTTTGCAACGATGAAAATACAGGTTATTTACGTTCAACATAATCCTTGCACATTTCATTACAATTAATTTATAAAATCTCATATCGAACTAACAATATTCATCTTGTAGATAAATTCTTGAGATTATCTTACATGTTTTGGGGAATGGCTGACGCGATTCCACCACCAAAAATTGTAATACCATCCTTAGACATGTCCAAGAAAGAAATTCATGAATTGACGTTCGACCGTGCTAAAGAAATGAAGAACAAAGTACGTAACGATGAATAATTAACGAAGGATTTTGATGATTTAATTAATTTTTTGTTATCTTCGACAGATCGCTATGAAAAATGCCATATTCTACAGTCAGTTAAGAAAAATGCGTGTGTTATACAGCAGGTATATGTGGAGTACCATGGAGTTCAGAAGATATCCATCTTTGTCATACAAAAAAGCTTTCTTTACTTATATGCCTGCAAAGGAAGCCGATGGGCACGTTTTTAAACCTTGGATGATTAACGAAGTTCGTGAAAAAGATTAAGGTTTTTTTCGGTTGCATATAAATTCGTCAATAATCCATACTGTTCGCAAAATCGTGTCTCGAAAAATATAACTGTTTAATCAAAGTCAAAATCGTTACTAACATTTTGAATAATTCAATATTTAATTATAGTTCTGAACAAAAAGAAATCTGAGAAGAAGAAATAAAAATAACACCTTTTATAATTATCTTTCCAAATGATTATACAATACAAAAATTATTGTTGCAATTGTTTGATATGGTAAAAATTAAAATTCATAATTAACATAATAAAATTCAATAAATATACAATCATCTTGAATAGAAACTTATATAATACCTATTTAGATATATACTACATACTATACTATTATTTCTTTGTGTGGAAGTAAATCGTTTTCCCATTGAACGATTTTATAAAAGTAATATACATACGATGTATTTAAAAGTCTCTTAGTATAAAACTGTTACAATTAATCGTTGTCGTTAGAAAAAGTTATACTTTTTCTATTCTCTTTTTTTAACTGTACATCTCAATTAAAACCTATCTAGGGTTTATATTCATTCATTTTTAATATTTTTAATAAATATACAGATAATCACTTATACAATGTCAATTTGAAACTATTCATTTTTACTCGTAACGCAATATTTCAAAATTCTTATACACAGAGAAACAGAATTAATATTAAAATTATCGAATTTTCAAATTGATATCCAATTTTTTTATATAAGAATTACGAAACCTTGCATTACAAATAAACATGAATTATTTCAAATTTACATTGATGACAAATACGAATATTCCTGTGATTCGCTGTATACAATGGTGGATTACAAAATCTTTTCAGCCTCAATGAGAATAACTTGTTTAGTTTCTATACTTGTCAATCCATCTACATATATTCATTATTTTTTTGCTCTCTATCTTTTTCTTCAATATTACCGATTAATATAATTAATACAATTCATTATAATATATATATATTCCTATCCTTTTTTAAATTTAATTAAAAATATTGCTATACTAAGAAAGAAAGTGATCCAAATAAGAGTGGCAATGAAACCACCGTAGACCGAAGACCTTGATAAATCCCAGCCTCTGGCTAACATAAACCTCATTGATTCGGTACTTTTCGTTAATGGTAAAACGTAACTAATTTTTTGAAGAATAGGATGCATTCCTTCGGTTGGCCAAATTATTCCACATAACATAACTATCGGTAAAAAGGATCCCATAGCAACGTAAGTAGCACTTCTTTCATCGGCACAAACAATGGCTGTAACAAATCCTATAAAGAAAAAGAAAAAAGAAAACCATAAATCAAATAAGATCGAGAAAACGAATCAATGTAAAAATTAACATATAAAAATATGATATTTCATACCGAAACACATTCCGCTTAATCCTGTGAGTAAAGTTAACACTGAAACCCAAATAATGTTACCCTCGCAAGTAATTTGGAACACAGAGAAGCCGAATATCATTACCATTAAAGTTTGTCCAATCATTACCACGAATTGGGTTAACACCAGACCGAATAATATTTCAGTACCGGTAACACCTGTGGGGGGGGGGGAGGGATAAAAATTATAATAATTCGCATTCAAATGTATTAATCATAAATTTACATCACAGAATTGAATAATGATGTTTACCGCACACTAAACTTCTTTCCAATAAACCTTCGTTCCTTTCTAGTAACAAAGCTCCCGATGTTAAAGCAACCGATAAGAAAAAGATGATACTAAGAAAAAATATGTTTTATATATAATCATTGTAATTATTTTATACACATTGATAATCATTTAATTCGACAACTTACGTTAAAATGATTCCTGGTGCTGCGAAATCAGTAAAATTTGGATTCAAAGGTCCATAGATCGGTGTTTGAAACTAAATCAATTTGCAAGATCGAAGATTAGAGATATAATTTAATTGGAAATAATGAATCGAAATGAAATAATATAATTGTGTTTGTAACTTACATTTAAAGGTATATTGGTTACTTTTTCGTTATAGTTACATGCAACGGTAACTTCACGAGCAAAATCTAAATAAGAATATAAGATGTTTCTTTGCAAGAGCTGACCAATTTGTTGATCTGAAATTAAAATGATAATAACATGAAAAAAAAAGAACAAAAGTTAAAATTACTACTAAGGTAAAGGTAAAAGACGTTAACAGATTCAAATTACTCGACATATCCATAACGATGTCCATGTCAGAATATATGAGATCCCATTGTTCCGTATTCTTGCCATTTTCTAGCCTCGAAATTAAAGCTTCGGAATAATTAGCTGAAAATGATATTACACCCCATGCCCATCCTTTTTTAACCGCGTACTCAGCTTCTTGTTGATTGTCATAAGGTACAAATATCATAGATGTATTCTTTAGGTGATTTAAAAATCGACAACTCAATAATGTTGTATTACAACCAATTGATGGTATACATTCATCGGTACTGTTGTCAAGTTCATTGTTAACAATAGCAAATGTTAAACCAACGGGATTCTTTCCGATAGAAAGGCAAAATAAGACGATCTGTATTACTGGTAAACCGATGATGAACGCCATTATGCTAAATAAATGAACTATTATTACGATAATTGATTACAATGATATTGCTGTTATGTATAATATATATTTATATTAAAGAAAAGATTAATATAAAATATTTATTGATATTTACCCAAAATTTCTCCACATCCATAAAAAGTTTTTCCATATTAACGCTTTCATATGTTGTAAATTTAAGACGTTGAAATTAGAAATATTTTTTTTCTCCGACGGCAATTCCGGCAACTAAATGTGAAAATTATTTTCAATGAAAAAAAAATTAATTTCACAATCTCTAAACTCATTACCAATAACGTGACTATCTTAAATCCTCTTACATTTCCTTCATCCGTAACGACTATGCTTCTTCTTCGACTAGAAATACTAACGTTGTCACCAAATTCGCCACTCATCTCGTCATCGGCGTCCTACGCGATAAAGAGATAAAGATAAATAATTTTATATAATCAACGGGGAAAAAAAATAAAAATAAAATGTATTTACCGGTTCCGGTGGTACACCGGTAACGCTACTAAGAATACTACTTCTTCTTCTGAGACCCATGTTCTGACGTCTACTAAGTTTTAAAAATACATCCTCCAAAGTATCCAATCTATGCATTTCCATCAACTTGCTCGGTGATTCTTCAGCAAGAAATTTACCTCCCCTCATAAGACCAATTATACTCGCTTGTCTTGTCTCCTCGATATAATGTGTCGTTATGATTATCGTTTTTTTACCATCCTCTGTTAACTGGACCAAATGATCCCAAATATTTTGACGTAATACTGGATCAACTCCTACGGTTGGTTCGTCCAAAATTAAAAGTTCTGGATCGCCCAATAACGTTGCAGCGAATGATACCCTTCTCTGTTGTCCACCCGACAGATTTTTAATAAAACGATTCTCCGATGGCAATTGCAAGAACTAAAATAACAATCGATCAGTTGGAATCTCTTAAATGTTAATATAACGATTTATTCATGAATATAGTGTTACCTTCAAAAGAAACTCCAATTTAATTTTAATCTGTTCGGTCGTCATACCTGCGACCCAGCCAAAATATATAAACGTTTCTTTTATAGAAAATTCACTATAAAGTGCTATCTCTTGTGGCATGTATCCTAATCGTGGACCTGGTACACCTGATTCTTTTGATCCCGGTTTACCACCTAGAACCCAAATTTCTCCGGAATTCAGACGTCTTCGACCCACGATACAGGATAATAAAGTTGTTTTCCCACAACCACTGGCACCGAGTAGACCATAACTAACAAAAAAAGAAAAATTTATTTCCAATTTATCAGTGTTGCCGAATATTTGTAAAATGTATTCGCTTTATTTAATTCATCATTAATTATTCATTATTCTGATATCTTATAAAAAGGGGAATCTTACGTGTAAATAACAGTTGAAAATATTCCCATTGAGAATAGTTTTGCTTAATTATATTCATGCCAGTATTATATAAAAATGAAAAAATAAACAAATATCTTATATGAAATCTTAAATCATCTCATATATTATATATCGTTTGATATTGTCGACGTGGTTAAATAAATCTTATGCGAATTGACGAGAAGAAACATTTTGACCAATTTTTAAAATCAATGAGCCCGTTTATTTTGGAATTTTTAATTTCTTTTCTCCGAAATATAATATATATATTACAGCTAATGGAATATTAAAACAACGCGCATATATATAAATATGCTCTAAGTTTTACGTAATAACGTATATAACGGCATCGAAGTTTCAAAGATCACCTCTTTACGTAAATATCATTTAAATAATTTATTTTTACTTTTTCTTTTTTATATTTTTAATGTGTTGTTTCCTTTTCAAATAGATTTGAGTTATATATATACATATATATATATTAACTCACATCGTGCCTTTAGGCACCGTCATGTTTAATCCATCTAGGACAATATTAAAATTCTTTTTCGGTCCATATCTCTTACACGCTCTTCTAACGCATACCGCTTGTCTTCTTCTCGCATCCAAGGTCGATGTTTGCGTTTGAAACTGTGCTCGCCTTGTTTTCAACTCCAAAGAAGCTGTTGGTACTGTTGATGTTGCATTTGACAGATTCATGATCTAAGAAATATACAAAAAGAAAAGAACACCACTGAAATGATAATAAATGAGACAAAAAATAGGTTTATAAATATGCATATTATTGCGAATACATATGTATGTATGTGTCTACGGTATGTTAAAGTCGTTTTATCATGAGAAAAAAAAATACAAGAAAAAATCAATTGCCTTATTAACACATTTGCGACAGACACTGTTCAGAAGAATTCTTTTCCTGGATATCAAATATAATTATTCGAGATATAAAACATATTATTAAATGAAACAATAACATTACAATTTAACAAATTTAACGAAAAATAAAAATATATATATATATAATAAAAATGAACATTTAACAATCAAACAAAATTGTATTAACGAATAAACAAATTACAAATTGTAATATATTTTTATTGAAAATAGAGAGAGAGAGAGTATTACTTTATCAATATTTGTGTTGGATATTTTGAAATAACGTAGAACTACATAATCGGTATTTCATTTGAAATGATCTAGGATTACGTTGGCTGTCTCGTATGTGTTTTATATAATTACAATATTTTATTCCTTATTTCAAAATACGAGTTTGCGATTAGTGTCGAAAATAAAAAAAAAAAAAAAAAAGAAAGAGAACAAGTATAAATTTACAATGTTGTCATATTTGAATATTAATATTAACCGTAAATAAATATTTTATGTGTTTTGATAAAGATTTAGGCCAAGGAACATTATCGTCGAATAACAAAATATGAATCTCTGTGTAATAAAATAAAAAAGAAAAAAAGAAAAACCCTGACCAAATTCTCAACAAAACTTGTTTGCGAATTCTTATTATCTTGAGGAGAGCATTATTTATTACTAACACGAAAAAATATATACTATTTAAAATATTGCACAAGAGAAATGTAATACACGACGGTGTACATACGTTCGATCATCAAAAGTGTAACATGCATTCCGTGACGTAAGATGTTACGAAGTCTGTGTGTTTTCAGTTACACCGTAGGTTACACACGAATATAATACGTACACGGTGTAAGTGCGAGCGAGAGAGTAAAAAAGAAAGATCACGTAGAGGCGGGAAAATCGGCGATTCAAGTTTCACCATTAGAAATGAAAGTAACTATTTATTACAATAATGTGGTAAATCAAAAAAAAAAAAAGAAACAAATCCTCGTCGTGTCATATTTTAAAACTTTTTATTTTTGCGTTGTAGTCAGTTTTTTTGTTCGTTTTAAGTTTTATATTTTGTTCGTTCACAAAAACACACTATTTCTTTATTTTCTTTCGAACAGATATTTTTTCCTTTTGATTTTTTTTTTTTTTTTAAATATAAGAACGATTACAAATTATTTTTTCTACTTCTTTTTGTTTTTTAGTTATTTAGAATAACAACCGGTCGTTAGAACGATGAATTGTTTTTCGTGATTAGAACGAAACGAATACTGATAATTATCGAATAAAATGCTTGAATAAATGTGCATGAAAACATGTGTTCGATGCCACGTGGATTTACGTCGCAGCGTCCTTCCTTGATTAAAGAGAAAAGTAGATACGTCAAATTGCTATAGTATTTATGCAATAAAAGTGAAGAATTCTTTGGTCTGGACAAAGTGTATTATTCCGTTTTTAGTTTTAATAGTCACCAAACGTATCGCGTAATTCATTAGTGATGTAACTCATACATTGTAGGTCGTACTCTCACTCCTTTTGATTATCTATCTAGACGGTCCAGTATTAAACCTTTCTCCTTTAACTTATTTTAAATCGGTCTGCTTGATTTCGAAACGATTTCTCAATTTTCTTTACTAAATTAATTCCAAAAGTATATGATGAAAAAGAAAAAAAAAAGAATTTCAAAAAGCTGACCATTAATTTTGATCAACAACCAAAGGAAGATTGTTTTCTAAATTGTTTACATAAGTTCTTTATTCAAACCGAAATTCGACTCGATCTCATTCATCTTGACGATTAATTAATTTTTTTTTTTTTTTCTCAAGTTTATAAAAAGTAAATAATGAGAAATAAGGAGAAATACGATGAAGTTTCTAACGTTTGTTTTCTTTTTTTTTTTTTTTTTGGAAAATTAAAAGACACTCCCAAAAGTCGGTATCGAGGAATCTTACTTTGTGTCGAGAAAATTATCGTCGAATTCTTGGAAAAAAAAAAAAAAAAATACTGGAAATATTATCTTATTCTTTCTTTGGTTACATCCGCCGTGTGAATATTCACTTTTTTAAGATCTTACGTTATGTTCCCGTACAAACATTGAAGTTTTATTTACCAAAGTTCCATCATATTCTGATCTAACAGAGTACCGAATATAGTGAATACGTAACCGGACTTTATTTTATTACTCATATGTGTGTACACGCTGTATTTAATGTTTTCAAAAGATAGAGAGAGAGAGAGAGAGAGAAAGAGAAAGAGATAATATTTCGCAACGTACCGAATTATTTTCTCTCTTGCATTACCGTCGATGTTCATTATTTAGCAACGTTAACGAATAATAATAAATTTGTCTTCATCTTCAACGGACGACTCGATGATTAAAAACTTACGAATACTCTTTGTCAGACAATATTATTTAAATAAATAATATTTATAAAATATAAATAATATTTAAAAAAAAAAAAAAAAAGAAAGATAAAAGAAAGTAGTAACGAGATCAAATGAATGAAATTTATTTTTTTCTTCGTTGAAATCAATTTCTCATTTATTTCACGAAGTGTACGAATAAAAAATTGATTAAAGAAATATCTTCATCTGCCGAGAGCTCTCAGCTTTGAGTGTTAAAAAAACGTTAAGAGAAAAAAGACGACAACAAAGAAATGAAAACAAGAAAAACTATAATAAAGTCAGTTCGATGGCTCTCGTTGTGCGTTGAAAACGAAATAATCTAATACAAATTCGATTTGAGCTAACTCGTGAATGCAACTAGAATGAAAAGGAAAGCCGATCCTACATCTGTGATACATAAAATTCACATGCGCTTATGCATTAAGTATGTATGTAGGTACATACCAGTTTATATCATTTAACGTATCAAAGAAAATACCTCGAATGATGGAAGATAAACGCGTAAGGATAGAACAAATAAAAATATATTAAATGACGAAAATTAATGACGCCAATAGACTGCTTAATTATATTGCAATTTTATTACTCGATCTTTCAACCTGTACGCGATGATTATAATAATGATTATAAGAATAATTACAACAATTGTATTTTTATTTTCAACGCGAATAAACCAATTTGTTCGTTTCTCAGAACGATCGTCTTTTCCTATCAACCCCTCCTTCCCCCACCCCCAAACAGAGAGAGAGAGAGAGAAAGAGAGAAAGAAAGAAGTAGGAAATGACGAAGATTACGAGATATAATTTTTTTCATTCTCCTTTTTTCCTTTTTCGCACACGTGCGCACACGTACGAGTTACTGTGTGAGAGTGCATGACTGTGCGTAGAAATGAAAAAAAAAAAGTAGCTACGTTAACGTTCAATAATACGAATAAGGACTAGAGGAGTTAACAACGAATGAAAATGATAATCACGCGAATGAAAATGATATAGAAGAAGAAAAATTTTCCAATGTCACGGTAAAAAAAAAAAAAAGGAAAGAAAAAAAAAGCCGATAACAACCGGGCGGTGGGGTGGGGTGGGGGATCGATCAAAGGATTGATATTTGCAACATATGTAAACGATTTTGCAGTTTCCTCGTGTGTCATCTCGTTAACATCATTCGCAATTCCTTTTTCATAAAATCTAAGCAAACTTTATGCTGAGTCAATTTCTCATTGAAGTTAAGATGACGCGTAGAAAATGCCGGCGTGTTGTAAGTCCATGTTTGCTTGACATTTAAATACGTATTGATAGAAAGAAAAAAATAGAGAAAGAGAGAGAGAGAGAGAGAGAGAGAGAGAGAAATCTTTAAGTACTCCAGCCCGATCATTTTTACCATTTACAATATTTATGAACAGATAATTGTACTGATTTAACAAATAAGTATTCACTAACCTGCGATAGATCGTTAAATTGTTTTGAACTTTCGAGAAGTACACCAGGTAGTCAGAAAGAAACGTTAGGAAGACGGACGTGATGATAATCCCTTTTCGTTTCTTTGATTCGTCGATCCTTTATCGGAGCACGATTTGAAATGTTCCATCGTACGAGAATTCCATAATAAATTTTATAACATCTATATTACAAAATGTAGAACAAAGGATAATGTATCTCGATGAAAAATCACGAACACTTATTAGAATAGGAACGTGTAATAGTAACGGTAATAACACCAACGATACGATAACGATAATAATGATGATGATTATGATGATAATGATGATGATGATGATGATAATGATGATAACAGATTCAGGAGGAGCCAAGAAATACAACAAAGGATTCTCACTGCACAAGCTCACGAATTCAATGCCGAACTGAAGAATTTTCTCGCAGTGAAGGGTTCTTTTGGTTGATTCAAGAATAATATAGAAACAACGAGATATATCGTCTTTCTATTTCTTTATTTCTTTATTTCTCTGAACTTGACCCTTTTATTCTTCTTCTTCTTATTCTTCTTCTTCTTCTTCCTATTATTATTATTATTATCTGTCTCCCCGCGTTCCAATCGTATGATCTAATAAGAATTTATTTCTGGTCAAGTATTTTTATGTTTGATATTTTTGTTATACAACGAGGAAAGTTAGCAACGAAAGTAACCAAACGAGAAAGAGTAAAGAGTAAGAGTGAAAAGTACGAGAAACAGGGAAAGGGAAAGAAAGAGAATGAAAGAGAGAGAAATAGAGAGGGAAAGAAAGAAAGAAAGAAAGAGAAAGAGGATACGATACAATCCGTTCGCTATACCGGAGAGAACTGGCCCGATCACTCGCACGACCGGAGTACCAAAGACTTGTGCAAGACACCAAAGTCGTCTAACAAAAGTTACCGAGCCTGGAGTTAGCTGATGTGTCTGTCGATCCGACTTGCTGCTTCTGGTGGGAGCGTTAAACCTGAGAATGAGAGACTCATTCGTTATTCGATTTAAACCTTTAATCACCACACTTCCACTTCGACTTCAAATCTTTTTTTCTTTTTTTCTTTTTTTTTTTTTAATCGTCAGGATTGATTTAAAAATCATTTTATTTTTGCCTTGCCATTGAGACTGTGCGCTTACTTTGGGACTTTTTTTTGACGAATTTTTTTGTAATATTAATCGAATGAATATTTTTCTTCGTAGGATCAGATCAAAATGATTCTTTTTATAAAATTAACGGATTTATCAACGCGCGACAAGGAATATAAAAATAAATTTATATAAAATTAAATCGAATTTTATATATCGATGTATATCGAAAATATTTTTGATACGATTGAAAATATAATGATCGATCTTCGGATACGCGGTCACGTATTATTTTTTACTTTTACGTTCGTGTTATTATTAGCAACCACAGTTAACAACACGTTTATTCCTTGTATTATCAATCAGGATATCACTGTATAGAGTCGACAAAAAATGCTTATTATGCGAAACGTTTCGATTACAATAAATTAATAATTCATATGTTTTATTTTAATATATCACGTAATCGATAATCCAAAAAATTAATACACAAGTATATTGATTTTATATACATAGTTTAAATGTTGAAAAAACTTGTTCAAGAAATTCGAGTAGAAATCGGAACGGCAATTTACTAAGAATCGTGTTCTTGCAAAATGACGTTTTCTTTTCGTTTCTTCTTTCGAGATTCCCTCCTTTCTAATAATAATAATAATAATAATAATATTAATAATAATTAACGCATTGTGTTCTCGTTTTATTAAAAACGAATACAGTTTCTCAATTTTTCTTGGAGAAATATAATAGGGAAAAAACAACACGCGTGTTATATGACGTGAAACTTAGAATGAAATTAACAATAAAATGTGACACATGGATATCACACTCAGTCATCACGTGGTATACCGATACTCTTCTATTAGAGTCATTAAATTAATAAGCAATCATTTGACGAAGGTATTCAGTTACTAAATGAAAATACGTATGATACTTTGGACTCCAGTCAAGGATATATTTTATCCTTCAGAATTTTAATAATCGTTTTAAAAACACAGCAGGCCGATTAACTGATTAGTTCTTACAATAAGCTAAATTCATTTCCTTCCACGTCCACATTCCAACTCGCAACCTTTATTTTGCCTTGCTTTTCTTTCGTTGGTTTTTTTTTTGTTTTTTTTTTTTTTTTTTTTTGTTTTTTATTTGTAAATCATTTCCAATTCGTCGTTTGAAATTCCGCGAACGTCCTAGTCTCTCTACGGTAGGAAAAAGTAGAAAAGTTAGCATACGAAATTTGCATGGACATAAAAATGCACAGAATAAAGTCAGACGAGTTTTTGAAGGTCACTCGAAGAAAGAAACATCCTTCGTTCCTCTGTTAGAAGAAGGCTGTCTAGTTTTTGCTTCATCTTCTTCTTCTTTTTCTTTTTCTTCTTCTTCTTCTTCTTCTTCTTCTTATTTTTGCCATAAAATTCGCAAGAAGTTCGACGTCAAGGTTCTTCGAGTCAAGGTTTTTTTTTGGGTCGATCAAGAATGCGTTAATAAATATTATCTCACGTATGAGATTATAATTATCATTACAACAATGTCTTGTATTAAAAAAAAACAAAAAAGATATCACCCAACGATAATCTTCGAATTTCATGCGAGAACGAAACTTTAGAAAAAAAAATCACGTTATTTGTAATCCTGATAAATTTCTCATAATAATTTTATACTTCCACGAGAAAAGAAAAAAAAAAACAAAAAAGAAAAAAAGAGAAAGGAGAGGAAAAAAAATATAAAGATACGTAAAAAAATAATATCATTACAAATCCAACAATTAGTTAATGCTAAAAATATTTACGTAATATTTACGCGTGGAGAAACAAATTCGTGATTTCGAAACGACGCGTTAATTACATGATACACTTTTCTTTTAACGATTGCCAACCATTATTATTACGGTCAATAACCGTGAAAACAACAAATTTAAATCAAGCCTCCTCTCACATTATGATATACAATACCATTAAATAAGTACTATCGATTACAAAATTTCACGAAGTAATTAGAACTTTTTCATAAATATTTCGACGCAATGCAATAGAAAAAAAAATATATAAATAAAAAAGTAAAACTTACAAATTAGATTATAAGAAATAGAAGTTTGTTCTCTCTTTTTTTTCTTTTTTCGTTTTATTTGTTAAAGTTCATTAACGAATAAACTTTTTTTTTTTCTTTCAAAGTTATCTCTTTTTATGAGATTATAAAGTTATACAAATATTTGTTGTTTCATTGGAATCAAATGTTAACTGGAGTACGCAGAGTTTTTTTTTCATATACATAAAAACCTATGTAATGTAATTATACTTATGTAAAATAAATGATACCTAAAAAATCTGTTATAATAATTATAATAGAGAATAAAATGTGTAACAGGTTGAGAGAGTAGGTACACAAGTAATGTCAGAATGTTCTGATGATATTTCCTTCTTTTTTTTTTTTTCTTTTTATATCGTTGATGATACGTTGCATACAATAATACTATTTCCAACATACGTGAACGTGTTCTTTCCCCAGATAAATATCAGACGAGAATCCTTTTTTCTCTTCTCTCCATTAAACAGCAATAATTCTTTAATTAAAATATTACGTCAACAGATACGAGACGAGATTATCTGCATGAACAAAAGATTAATATCGATAAAATGAGGAAAAAACCGATCAATAAAAAAAAGTTCACACTCCTTTCTTATTAGGAAATGATTAGATAGTATTGTGGTATATTGTTAGAAAAAAGCAAAAAAAAAAAAAAGAATAAACGTAGGAAAAAGAAAGGATACGTATATTTTATTGTTTTTATTCTAAGTTTCAACTACGTAAATTTTTCCAATATTGATTACTCTTCTTATTGTTGGTTGACCTTTAATACCTGTCACAAAAGAATAAGAAGAACGATTGGGAGGAATGCTAACCTAAGTTACACATCATGTGTTTACGCGTCGAACCGAGTGTGAATAATTTGCAAAAACAAAAAAGTAAGAGAGAGAAATAGAAATATAGATTACAGGTGGAAAGTTTTTAAATGATTGATATTAGCAATTTCGATGGATTTGACCATGAAGAAATATCGTAGAACTTTACCGTCAGTTTCGTTTACAATAACTTTAAATTTATGCACGTAAATATTTAAAAAAATAACTTTAAATTTATGCACGTAAATATTTAAAGAAATAACTTTAAATTTATGCATGTAAATATATATATATAAATGTACGTGTACAACTCGAGAAGAAATTTTTTATGGAGAATGGAATCGAAAGATAAAGAAAAAAAGAGAAAGAGAAATAGACAAAGCTACTATTTCAAAGATTACGTTTCTTCTGATTTATTCTCGTCTACAAATGGAATAGAAAAAAAATATATAAATGAGAGCAGAGGTTAGAAACAAATGTAATGCAGTGCTTAACAAAAAGTATTGTCGTAGACGGTATATTAGAATTTTTGTTTTGTTAACTAGTAAAAACAAATATGTACGATTATTTATTTAATCTTTTATTTTTTTTTTTATATTTTTATTAAAGTATCTTTCTCATATGTTTAAGGTTGAAATATATATAAATATGTTGATTTATATCAAATAAAAAAATTTCATTGGTGTAGAAAAAGAAAATAAGAAAAACATGCGATGTTAATGGTTAAAAATAGTTTCCAGAAAAAAATGGCCGTTCATGTTGCATTATTCATTTTATTTTTTTTATTCTCCATCAATTTATTGGGTAACGGATATCCCAGAATTGTTTACCAAGATGTGTTGATATAATATTTTTAAGAAACATTCTTACTATCCAAAACAAAATAACCTGTTCGAATATCGAGTTTATGAATCATTCAATATTTATTTATTTAGATCTAGAAAAGAAAAAAAGAAACAATGTTCTGTTTTTTCAATAATGTAGATGATAATATTTTAGCGAAATTATTCTTATCAATTTGAATTAATTCTAATTTTAAAAAAATAAGGATAATAATAATTTATACTCCTAAATATGACGAGGATTATTAAATATTGATTTTTTAGTTACTTTTAAGAATAGGTATACAATGTGGACGAGAGAGAAACTCATATTAATTTATTATAACTTAATTATCTTTCACGTTCAGAAGAAAATTATATACTGTGAAATTTATAGTATTACTCATTTATTTATTTTTATTGTTTATAACGTAAGTTCATAAAAAAGAAAAAAAAAATAATATTAAAAACTTCGAATTAGTATTCAAACTTTACAGCGAAAAGTGAATTTTGTGACGGAAAATGAAATAAAAATGTAAAAAAATTATTATCGCAATATATGTATATATAAAAATAAAATCAAAATATTACATAATCATCGTCATAATCTTTTAATAAAATCTCAGCTTTCATTTATTGTTTATCGTAACTTTGCAATCATCTAAGTTTTATAGATTGACAAATCAAAATCTATAATTTCTCCCACTCTTTATTTCTTTCCTTTTTTGAAAAGTATCAACAAGATCGCATAGTAGTATATGTTACATCCAAGTTTGCAAGTAACGTTCGTATAAATGCAATACTAGTAACGCTGTTTAGTATAAAGTCTCGTTAAACAACAACGACACTGACACATTTTCAATTAGTCACGAGGTTAACCGGTTTGAGAATAAACTAGTTTTTATTTTAAATCTTCTTATACCCAATCCTACTATACTAAGAAAGAGAGAGAGAGAGAATCTTCTTTTTCCTATAAAAATGTTTAAAACAATAACTAATTATATTGACCAATATAGTGATTTATCAAAATCGAAGTAAATCATTACTAAGAAACAAAAGATCGAGTAATAATGATTAATGGCACTTAACATATTCACGTTTATATTTTCTAGCAAAGATGAAGATCATTTCTATGGACCATTTGCATATAAGTATCTTAGAGAGAACATTAGTTATTGCTTTTTTATAATTTTTTTATTTGGACTACTTGTAAAAAGTCAGACAATTGGCAATGCAAATGAGATGTTATGACGTTGGTCATTTATATACCTGTATTACGTTTATAAATGTTATTTATTTCGATCCGAACTAATCCTGTCTCTAAATTCTAACAGTCATTTGATCCGTATCACTAGCGAACAATTATGTCATTTGTTTAAATTTAAAATTGCTAAAACATTATGACTTACTGTAAAAGAAAACTAGAAATTTCTGATATAATATCGATCAATGTATCCTAATATTCTTTAAGCATAAAAAGCTTTCACCTAATATCTTCATAATACTTTCGCTTTACGAGCTAAAAGCAAAGATAGAGAAATATAGAAAAAGAAAAAAAAGAGAAAATATAAAATTCATGCAAATAGTTGATTTATTATAATATATTTTGTTATATCATCGAGATAAGTGGATTTAAACTGCTCAAATATTGCTTTTTATATATTGTTACACGAAATAACACGGAAATACAAGTACGTCTCGGCAAGAAAAGATTAACCGATGAAAGTACACCATTGATTGCAACTTCTTCGGTGTAATATTCTTTTTTATAATTTTTCTTCTCACTTTTTTATTGAGTATACTTCATCATGTCATCCTCCTGATTGCTATTATATTGCCGTAAACAAGTTCTTATTTCCAAATAGGAAATGAAAACAATTGCAAAAATTCAATAACAAAATCATTAAGTTATTACACATAGTAAACGATAATAATATAAAAATATAATTACGAATACGATTAGGAATAATCTACAATTAGAATATCTATGAAAAATTTCATTTTATACTCGAACACATACTTATATGCGAAATAAAAGAAAACAAATTTATCTACTAGAGATATTTACCTTACCGATGTAAGAAAATAATTTTATCGATCGAAAGTTATATAGAACATTACTAAAAATTCTAACCGTAGGAACGCTAACAAAGAACCTTACCAGCAGAAAGAATAAATAAGTGCTCTTAATTGCACACTATTTACTTACACTATCTACACGCTTTGATTTTCTTCTACTTTTTAAAATATATATGTATAAAAAACGCATTTCTGAAGGCACACACGTATTTAAACACTAAAAATTAAATATAATTATTTTAAACTTGCTTACAATATAACTATACTATATCCGTATACTATACCGTCATCGCGTTAAGTACATACTATCGTCCAATGGTGGTCCCAGTGGTAACAAAAGTAATTCTGGGTAGATAACACTACCTTATAGGTTGTTACTTTGGAAATCAATTTTAAATATATCCCCTGCAGGTATATCAACTTTACTTTCATTTTTTTCCAAGTGTGCTAGCGCCTTGAATTTGTGGTTGCGCATGTGTATAACATATCTTCCACTCATGACGTTGCCATTTCATAATTATTCAAAGTTTAATAATTATTTACAACTAATTAACGATAAATAAAAAATATTTGATACAATAAAGTTGAGCAAATAGTGTACAATTAAGAGCACTTATTCATTCTTTCTGCTGGTAAGGTTCCTTGCTAGCGTTTCTACGGTGAAAATTTGTATTCTATCAACATGTAGTGTTATTTCGATAGTTGGTAAAATAGGAAACTGAATAATTTGTAATTCGTTTGAACTGCCGATAATGCAATGTTAACAATCATCAGGCGTAATGAGTAGTACCGTTACAATTGATGCGGTACTACTCCCTTCCACATTCTCAAATATGCCGGTCATAAAACTGGTTTAACATCAATGTGTGCACGAAACGCATCGAATTCAGTCGAGGATTTAACACGGCCTCAAACGTTAGTCATATAGGTTGAACTTTCCATCCGAATTGTTATTCATAGAGTCTTATCAATACTATCACGTCGTACCTGTCAACCTTGTCGCGTCTGTAATTTTAGTTCTCTTTACATACTACAATTTTCTTTAATTAAATTATTTCTCTCGAAGAACACGGATTTCATTTCATAAAGTTAATGTTTTTATTCAAAAAAGAAAAAGTTTGTCAAAGAAATTGAATCGGACAGAAGAAAATAATTAATTTTCTGTCGATGATATAGGTTTATTTCCTTAATAAGAATGATTTCTATAAAGTTTATTTAAAAAAAATTAGAAATAATATTACGATTACGATACGATGAGAATGATCGTTAGGATTTAAATGATATAAAAAAAAAAAAAGGAAGAAAAAGCAAAGAATCATTGTTACTAAAAGTTTTGTTCGTAATCAAGAAGAATATCAGCAGAGACTGCACATCCTATTTTGTTTTACAGCAAATAAGGAAATAATAGATAAGTAAGTAGAATAATAGATTATGCTGTTTTCGTTTAGAGAAAGTTCACGCGATCTACTTAACATGACATTCAATTCAATATTCCATAATAATAGAAATTTAACAGTATATAACGTTGTCTGACACTTTTTTCCATCCAAATAACTTTGCTTGTTGACGTCAAAATATAACGTATATTATAAAATAAGTTTTTCTTAAATGCACTGTGATTATAACGAGAAATCTATTTTTCTCTTCTATATATATAATTTTACGATCTATCGACAAGAAAATTATGACTGTCGTAAACACTAGCATGTTTAATAAGCACAATCATTTCTTTTAATTAGAATGTAGGTTCTGTAGAATTGCGGTAGAATATTTTATTATTTATTAATAATTTTTTTGCCGCATAAGTGTAATTTATGAATGTTTACGGATAATTTTATAAAAATCGTTATTTAACATAATTTTTTTTTTAATTTTTTTCTCCATTTAATTATTGTTTTCAACTAATGTAATTAACGAACAATATCATGAGTAAAATTACAAGCATAAGAAACAAAAGAATATTAACAAAATCTAACCGATCGCACAAGGTAAATTCAACGAAGAAATTTGTCTTACTTTTAATAATTTGTACTGACAAAAATTTAATACGAATAACTTATTAATTGTTTACTCATTTAATCAGTTTAATTATTGAAGATGTTATGAAAATAAACATTTGTTGCATTTTATAGTTGAACGAGTTGTCGATAGAATAATTTTTAAGTATAATTTTTAATTGCATTTGTAGTTTAATTATTTGTATTAAATATACTACGACTCGTCAACTTGAAAATCTAGAATATAATTTCATGAATATTTTTGTCGAACAATCGTTCTAAATATAAACTAGCACGATTAATTTGGAATATATTTTTGCTTAATTATTCATTATGCTTATTTATTCATTAAAATGTAAACTTTCTAATTGTTATTATTTATAATTCCTTTTAGTAATTGAATTTAGATCACACACAATTGAAAAGTTTAATAATCCTAAAATAAATTTTTTCGTATAAGAATTTTGAAATTTTGCATTACAAAAAAATACGAATCTATTATAAATTATATTATTCAGAGATATTACAAAGTTTTAACATTAACAATATGTTATATGCTTATAATTTACATGTTTTTGTATAGACGCACATTATAAATACATTTAAATAAAAACTCATCAATCATAATGTATAATTAACGTCAGATAAATGATCACAACAATCAATTTATTCAACACAAAAAAAATTTATTTTATTGATAGTATAATGTATTCATTAATTTATATTTTCTGTTACTTTTTCTTTCCCACGTTTTAAGTTATTTATTTCTATGACGGAAATCGAATTAATGAATTAGCATTGCTGGTATAAAATTTAACAAAAGCATTAACGAATTTTTAATTTATATCAAAATTTAACAAATTCAGGTAACATTATCTTGTCAATTAAGAAAAAATTAATTCGTTAAGATATATCATACTAATTAAAATGTACTTCCACAATAATTTCATTTTAATATTAACTATAAAATCGCGTCAGATATTTCTATTGTAAAATCGAAATTGATTTAAATAAATAAAAAAACAACAGCCTAAACTTATCGCAAATTAATAAGAAAAATAAGATATTTTTAATATTAAAAATATACACAAGTTATAATCAATAATGATTTGAGTAAGGCAAATGATAAATGCTTTGTTTAAATGATTTTATACTTAACGATATTTTTTATCACTAATTAACACAAGAAAGCCATTTACTCGTAAATGCAATTAACTCGAGTACGTGTACGTACTTAATTTTAATAAATGATTTAATTGTCGATTCACACATAACACGTCAATGGTTTACGCATTTAAAAATATCATCAAATAACAAATATTACCTACTTACGAAATTTAAGCCTTTGTAAGTAATTATCGAATGAATATCAACGTAAATTCTTATAAATATATTCATTAGAATTTGAGAAACGGAAGATAATAAAAAGTTTTTGAATTACGTATTACGTATTAAAAACATATACGCACGGTAAAAAGGCTAAATAATAAAATAAATCTTGAATTTATCTCGTATTTCCTAACAAAATACTTCATTTTCGATTCTAAATAATTTCGAAACTATTCAATTCAGCGATTGGTAAATACTAATGAGTGGACAATTAAAAACTAATTCTGTCGTTTTTATATCTTTTTATTTTTTTGGGGGGGAAAAAAGCAAGAATAAAGAAGATAAAAAAACAATATAAATATTGATTTTCAATCGATTCTATCAGGTTGCTGCTTTTTTGTTCGCAAAGAATAATAAAAAAAAAAGAAAAAAAATTCAATCGAAACAGAGACATTGAATTCATATGATGCATTTATAAATAAGTCAATTGTAAATGCAAATAAACATTACAAGTACTTTACTTATTTTCTTTCTCTACTTATATGTATATTTTTGATGCAAATGACGATATTAAACTTGTTCACTTATAATCTTGTTTAATTGCATATCGGTTATTTTAAAAAGAACCTATTTACATACACTGTAGAGAGTCGAATAAATTGATGATAATTATAAACTTCTAAAGATTATTTAAATAATTTATTTAAATAATTCACTTCTCTTTTTCTAATCTTTTTTTTTTTTTTTTTTTAATCAGACTGATATTATCAACGAGTGACAAGGTATCAACTTGTAAAAATCTAAAATGTACGAAAAGGAAGCGGTCGTATTGAGAAATGTGAACAAATATTACGGAAAAAATTTTAAAGTACTCGACGGATTGAATCTGACCGTTGCCAAGGGTAGCATGTAAGTAACGTTATAGTAATTTCATCATTTTTTTCATCTCGAGTTTATTTCCGTTATTCGCCGTTGTTTTATTACAAAATTACATCTAACGGTATGTATAATAACAAAAAGAAAAAAAAAAAGAACGTAAGATAATAGTCGTACACTATTGTCTTCCGTTAATTGGTTCAAAAGTAATCCTTGAGTTGTTAATCGCATTGAAAAATAAATCCTTATTAGGTGAATTTGAAAAGAACTTTTTGTTTTCAAGACCAAAATAATATTAATAATAATAATAATACCGACTGAAGTATTTTTCCTTACTATGATTAAAAATAAAACATATAAAGTATAATTTCAAAGTAAAGTAAAATAAATAAAATAACATATGAAAAAGGTTGAAGAAAAACAACAACAAAAAATGTTAAATTCCAATAAACAGATACGGATTATTGGGTCCAAGTGGATGTGGAAAAACAACTCTTTTATCGTGCATCGTTGGTATCCGAAAAACAGATAGCGGTGACGTTTGGGTGCTAGGAGGAAAACCGGGTACTAAAAATTCGGGTATTCCAGGACCTAGAGTTGGTTTTATGCCGCAGGAAATTTGCCTCGTAGATGAGTTTTCTGTAATCGGTGCACTGAATTATTTCGGAAGAATAAATGGAATGAAGGATAACGAAATAAGTAAGATATTTTTTAAATCTTTCTAAAWAAAAAAAAAAAAAATGCAAACACATAAAGATTAATTCATTTGCATTACAAAGTGTAAAGTAATCTCCACGCAATTGTTTTAGTCAATTGTTATGTGTGTGATTCCTGAAATATTACGTGTCATAATAATATTTGAATCTCGAAGATTAACAATTTTTATTAAATCAAAAGATTCTGCCGGCAATCTTTTTAATAGTGTATTACGTGACATTTTTATAATCCACACTTGTTTCAGAAAAACGATATCAAGATTTAGAGGAAATTTTGCAATTACCGCCAAAAAATCGATTGATAAAAAATACGAGCGGTGGCCAGAAGCGAAGAATATCATTGGCTGCAGCTTTACTTCACAATCCGGAATTATTAATCCTAGACGAACCAACCGTAGGGCTTGATCCGGTTTTAAGAGATGAGCAAGTATATTTTTTAACTTATCCTGTTTAGTAAAGTGAATAAAAAGAGTAAGGATAACGAATAAGATATTTTTAATCCGTTCGCTCCGATGACCGTACGTATGCGCCCTTAAAAAATGAATTTTCACGTATGATGAACGTATCTATGCGCTATCGAAAAGTATGCGATCAGATACAAAATAATAACACGTTAAAAAAGGATTAAAACTTAACATAAATGTATAACTTGAAAATTAGTTGTCTAATTTTGTTTTCATTCTCTAGACACGCATTATATTTTCATATTAAAACACTTATCTAAAATTTGAAAAAAAAAAACAACACAGTGTTGCTCGTATTTCTTTCTTTTTTATTTCTCGTTCACTCACACACACAATTATTGATATAATTTAATTTTTGTTTATAATTTAGTTAATTCGTTAATCTTGTAACTTACACCTTTCTTCCAGTATTTGGAAATACTTATGTAGGATCACACAGGAGAACGGTATTACTGTTATTATTACTACACATTACATTGAGGAAGCCAGACAAGCGAATAAAGTAAGTAAAACAAACAAACAAAAAGTCTAGAAATATAAATTATGTGTCTTCTTGATTAATCATCTTTTTGGATTTTCTATTTTTTATGTTTTGGCATGTTTCACGTTAAATATTACAATTCAGTCGAGTATATTAAATTTTATGCGATAACAAAATCGTAATATATAGAACATATGTATGCTAATAATGGGAAATCATACAATGTTAGCAATGTTAGCAATACAATATATTACGTTTAGACCAATACTCATAGAGATTTCCACGGAAAATCTGTATCTTTCACTCCTTATCGTATTGGAAGATATATATATATATATATATAAGCGGATTTAGAAGGAGATATTTTATATCTGATTTTTTACTTTACCGGTTTCTCATTTGTCATTCTCAAGAATTTCTAGGAAATGTGAGAAATATGAATACATTTCCGACTTTGTCAAAAAACGTTTTGCCGAAGAGTTGGTAACATTGCTTGATTTTTTATTATGCCAGTAACATATATATATTATATTTACGTTTCTGCGCGTGATTTTATGTAAGAGGGAAAAAAAATGAGAAAAACAAAATGAATCGATTAAAAGCAAAATAAAACAGTTCCATGAATTATTATGCATGTATTCGAGATAAAAATTGTAATAATATAAATTGTAGAATTTGTATTAATAATAATGAATCATGATAAACAAGGAACATTAACATATAATTACGTGAAAACATAATACGTTTCGCAATACGTATAAAACATTCATCATTATTATTTTGGTCCTTAATTACTTGTACTTATGATTAAACAAGCAAAGGAAGACGATAAAAGCAATAAAAAAGCTAATAACATGTTAACATTATTTTTAGATCGGTTTAATGAGATCAGGTAAATTATTAATTGAATCTACTCCTGATCAATTGTTGGATCGTTTCCAGTGTGATAATTTAGAGGAAGCTTTTTTTAAATTAAGTAAAGATCAAGAAGAAAATGTTAACAGAAATTTGACTGACAGTTCTGAGACGTTGCAAGAAACAGAATTTGTAGAAACTTTGGTTCAATATCCTACGAATTCAACGAGTATTCCAGTAAAACCAATTAAAAATTTATGTACGTATATTTATACAAGTATGAATTATACATTAAAAACCTCCGTGATTTGAATTATACTAATAGGGAGGTGATATTATAATTATATTCGGGTAAAAGAATTTTTTTTTTTCTAATAAAACGAACGTTCTTAGTCACGATGATAAATTTAGACTATTTCGAAAAAATGATATAACAATTTGATCAAATATTAGAAATCGATGTAACATAGGAAATTGTATTCACATAGTGTTCGGATAATAGAGAATTCCGAATAGTAAAACGTTCGAATATTACTTATTATATTATTGCAGATTGTCGGATATTCGAGGTCATCCATTGTACGTGGGTTTATTGACAAGTTTTACTCACTTTTATAATTTTTTTAAATAAAATCTTTTTTTTTTATCAAGGCTCCAATATTTTTCAACTCCTTTTTCGTATAATACAATAGTTACGAAAAAAACGATAAGAAGAAAAATATTCTATTATTTTTCGGAACGCGAGCGCGCGCGCGTTGATAATTTTTCTTGCTTTTTATTTTCTTATATTAAAATTGTTATAAAAAAAAAAAATAAAAAAAAAAAAGAAGATAAAAAGAAAATACACATTTACTAATTTCGAAATTATTATCTTTTATCAAATGAAAAGAGAGAAAAAAATGAACAACGATAACAGATAATAGAACTCGATAAAAATAATAGAGTAGAAAATAAGTTCTTATAATGCATATAAATGCAACGTATTAATAAAGTTTGCTTCGTGGATAATGATGGTTTTTCTTTTGCTTAGAAGCTAACAAGTCATTCTGCGGTTCGTGGTTTTCTAAGATTTAAATTGCTAAATATCAAGCGACGAGTGTAATATTAATTGAAGCAATAGTTAGAAGAAACGATAAAAATAATATTCTAAATGTTTATCTTTCTTTTTTTTTTTTTCAAGAATATCTTACACGTGTTCCATCTTATCCTTTAGTTCACTTTAACGACTTTTTACAGCTACCACTTCTGGAAGATTCAAGGCTCTTATAATCAAAAATATGACGCAATTCTTACGTCGTCCTAGGTACGATGATAATTTATCATTCTTTGCTAATTAGTTTTTTTTATATGTCTCTTTCAATCAGGAAAGCGTAAATAATTTTATGGAATTTAACTATCATGATAATAATAATAATAATAATAATAATAATAATAATAATAAATATAATATTATAACTTACAGTGGAATCGTATTTGCTGCAGGATTTCCAATTATTCAACTTACACTATTTTTGTATTCCTTTGGTCACGATCCTCAAAATCTGAAAATCGGTATTTACAATCAAGAAACAGGGAACTGTAATTTTGGTCAAAATACTGGAAACGTTGTTTACACGCCGGACGATTACGGTGGTTCGTGCAATATCATTGACTTTAGTTGCCAATATTTGCACAATATAAAAAATATCACCGAGGACAAGGTAAAAAATATAACATAATAAATATGTAATTCTTCCTGCAACAAATTGAATAACATACTTTATAAATATATATATATATATATACATTTTGTGCTAGACAATCTGTAAAATAAAATTTATTTCGTTGATCATTTTTTTCACTTTTTTTGTTTTCTATTTTGTTTTTTTTTGTTTTTTTTTCTCATCAAAGATATTCTACGACAGTTTTCCGGATATGGAGAATAGTTTGAGAAAAGGAAAACTTTCTGGGATGATACATTTTGGTAAAAATTTTACGCAAGCATTGCAAAGAAGATTAGAGTCGGAGAGAAATATGGAAAAAGAAGAATTTGAAATGGGAGAAATTCAAGTCTGGTTGGACATGTCCAGTAAATATATATTTACAAGTTTTTAATTGTTTTTTTTTTTTTTTTTTTTTTTTTTTTTTTTTTTTTTTTTAATTGAAGAAAAGAAAAAAGAAGACGACGACTTATATTTCCTCTTTTTTCTTGTATACAGATAGACAAATTGGATTTTTCTTAAAGAATGAACTTAACAAAAAATATTTTGAGACCATACAAAATGTCATGGAAGAATGTCACTTCCCTAAGAAAACAGCGAATATACCATTAAATGTAAGCATAATTATTCTCATGCAGACATTGCAATTGACGATTAATATTTATTTAAACATCGATTTTATCATCGAACATTTTTACTTTCAGTTCGAAGATCCTATTTTTGGTGTTCTTGAACAAGACTTTACGTCTTTCAGTTCACCTACTTATATTTTAACGTGAGTTAAACTTCATTTCTCTCTCTATATATCTATTATATATATATATATATATATATATAATAATATATTATTTATGTATGTATTATTATGTATATTTTTTTTTTCTATATTAACATAATATTTATATTATGTATATATATTTGATTTCTTTTTCTCCCTAGGTTATGTTTTTTCATAGCAACTGCTGTTACTACCACGATATTAATTTCAGACAAACATGAGGGAATTTGGGAAAGAAGCCTCGTTCAAGGTAATTTTTAATTAATCTCGAACGTTCGAAAGTTCCAAAAAAGAAAAAAACAAACAAAAGAATCGTCTAACATTATTACATTTATATATACTTTTTTTATTTCACGTTTTAATTATTCAAAAAAAAAAAAAATATAAATTTAAAATGGCAAATGTACAGATCGATAGGTCATATCGTAAATTGAAAAGTTGTTTAACACTAAACCTTCCGACACTTCATGTATACCTATTCTTATCATAAGCGGTCAAATAACTATATATATATATATATATTATTATTATTATTATAGAACGAAATTTTAATTAATTTGATACTCAAATATATATTTTTTTTTTATTTAATAAATTACAAGGTGCGGTGTGACTTGGTAACCGCACGTGTTAGCTTTAGTATTTATTAATATAATAAATACCAAGGTCGATTAGATACGAGAAGATATATGGTAATTTAAAGAATGAATATAAATAAAAACAAATGCATTTTGAAAGAATTTATTTTTCAACGATTAGTAAGATCATGAAATATATGCAATATTTCTTATTATGTAACTTCCTTTAAAAGGTTACCAAAAATATTCAAATAATTCAATAAAACAACAAGTTTTGTAGGTGTAACAACACATCATTTGAACCATAGGAGAAAAACGAATATCTTATATCTTTTTTTACTTTTTCGTAGGAGTTAAAACACCAGAAATATTGATCTCTCATTTCGTGGTAGAACTGATGCTGATCATAATACAAGTCATAATAATCTGTACCATAAGCTTCTTTTATTTTGGAGTAAAAAGTAAAAGTTCCCTTTTTGCAATCATAGGGATAGTACTTTTAATGGGTATATGTGGAATGACTTACGGTACGTTATATGCTTCAAATTGATTCTATTATGAAAAATAAAAAATAGAATAAAAAAGAAACTCTTAAGCAAATAAAATAAAATTATTTTGTTCGACCGACACAGGTTTTACGGTTTCGGCGTTTTTCAATTCGCATACTTACGCGGATTTCATGGTCACTGGAAGTTTCTATCCTTTGATACTTCTTAGCGGTAAGTATGAACAAATAATATCGAACAAATAATATTTATCGAACAAATATTTTATTGTAATTCCTAATGTTTTTTTTTTCGTTTACTTTTTTGGGGTGATTTAAAAAGAAAATTAAACAAATTCTAATTTTTTCTAATATTTCTCGTTTTTTTTTGTTTTTTCTTTTTTTTTTTTTATATTTTTAAGGATTTCTCTGGCCAATCGAAGGAATGCCAACTGCGATTAGATGGATAAGTGTTTTTTTACCAACGACAATACCAGGAATATCACTAAGAGCAATTATGATCAAAGACCTTTCTATTAGCAATCCTGAGGTTTACATCGGTTTCCTCGTGATAAGTATTTGGACGGTTATTTTATTTCTCCTATGTCTTTATGGTCTCAGAAGGAAATTTTAGGAAAGAGAAGAAATGGGAAAAAAAAGAAAAAAATAATATTAATAATAATAATAATAAAAACGACAATCTTGCGTCACAACGTGCCTTAGTTTTTAAACGATTAGTTTTACTTAAATCGCCGTTAATTGTTTCGAACGTTATTTATTTCGGATAGGTTTTATCTTTTCTTTTTTGTTTTTTTTTTTTTTTTATTTTCTTTTTCCTTCTAATTATTAAACGTTTCTCTCTACGATTTACATTTATTTTATTATAGAGATTTACTTGAATTCTATATAGTCGCATAATTTAAGTAATTTATTTTTTTTTTTATGTGTGAATAAATGCGGGGCGTATTCGTTAATTATGATTAATAATATTTAATTGTTTAATCGAACTTTTTTTTTTTTATAATTGTTTTCTCTTTTGTTTTATTTTTTAAAGTTAATATTAACAAAACCACAAAATGATCATAGGGAAAATATTGTAAAATATGTTTGGGATTGTTTTAAAGAATGTTTAGTTTTTAATCGTTAAATAGAATCGCTATTATAAAATCTATTTGAAATTTATGGTAGGAACGCGATACGACTGTAAATTATTTAATCTTTTCTCTATAGCGGAACTGGCCACCGGAAAATTACTGTTCAACGGTACTTCGTATCATAAAAGTACAATTCACGTTGAACGGACGATGATTTCTGGCGAGTTTGAAGTGTTGTGGATAAAGTTTCTTCGAAAAAAATAAAATTAATTATTATCGTGATAATATAAAACTTAAAAGAAGAATAATACACGAGAAATAATGTATCATTAACATAACACGTCTATGTATATTTTGTATTTCTTTTATGTTTATATATCGAGTCAACTGTAGACGCAAATATTAAATAGCGAAAAGATTAAATTGAAATTAAGAAGAAAAAAAAAAAAAAGAAAATGAAACCAAAAGGAGAGCATTTATAATCTTCGAAAGAATTAATATCTTAAGAATATTTTGGGAGGAAAAACTAATATATTGTTCTTGTTAAGAAAAATAATTTTCTCTCGAATTATGTGTCTAGTCAAATACTAGGCGTCGGTAATGCAAAATAACGCGTTGCTACTTATTAAATATTATAATAAATAATTAGAAAGAGATAATAATATTTCTCATTCGATAAATTTCATGCAATGCGTATTGAAAATTATTTTATTTAATTTTAATTTATATAATTAAAAGAAATAAAAACATATGTGTGGAAATGCAAATCAATGATCATTATTATTGATCGAACATTTGGAATGACATCGAGAAATAGATCATAACATCTGATATCATCAACGTCAGAATTGCATAAAGTTTGAAGAATTATATCAGGGTTGTGTTAAAGTTGTACCCGGAACTAAAGTGTGATCATACTGTGACCGATCTAATTCAAATTCTGATTAAAGACGGAATCCCAGACGGATTAAATCCGATACTATCTCAGATATCAGACCTGAGATACTTATACAAATTTTTTCTCCGGTCGTAGCAAAAAAAAAAATGATTGTATCAAGATTTGCATAAATAATTATACCTCATAACAATAATACTGCATTTTTTTTTTTTTTATATTTCAGCAATTTTGTATACATAAGAGTCTGCATCTAATAGGATATTTTTATAACATTCTTCTTGTCTTATTTTCTCTTGTAGAATATATTTTTATAATGTTCGGCGAGATAATATTGGTGTTACGCTCTATGTATATATATATAAATACACACTCGTATTAATTATTTATTCATAATTTATTTCTTTTATCTTGGTATACATATGTTCAAATATATAATTCACGATGTTTAGCATAATACACTAAACGCGATATTACAAACATATACAACGTGCGAATAATATTTACGATTACGTTGTTTGCAGTTGTTCCTGTTGTTATTAGATGTAATTGGTATATATTTTTCTTCTTATTTCTTTGTTCTTTTTCTAAATATAAATTTTTATGTCGTACTCGTAATTGCGTAAAGCAGGTCGATTCAATCGTCAACTCCTTCAATAGAATTAATTATTCTCTCTTTTAAGAGGTGGAACATATAATTTAATGAAATAATTAATGTTTACTCATAAGGCTGTATTATTCGTCATAATAATTGGTACTCGTTTGTTTTCTTCTATCTTCTTTTTTTTTAAATATAAACTTTGATGTATTTACATATAGTTTGCGTGTTCGTAAAATTCGATCGCCATACCTTTTATAATAATTACTTTCTCCTCTTATACAATAGATACAATCGATTAATTAAATTATACAATTAATTCATTTTTCAACACTCCGTTTTGGTTCGAATTAAAAAGGAAACTTATAAGAGAAAATGATTTGATGAAATGAACTTTTCATTCGGATCATCGATATCGGCTTGTCTTCGCACAACAAAAAATTACAAAAGGATTACGTTATTAATAAGAATATTTATAAAGATTATATTTCAAATTATAATCAAATATATTAAACTCTATAAACGAGAACTCGTGTCATGCTATATCTCTTAATTTAATATTATTAAGTTTCAAAGAAATATATTTGAATTAATATATCACCCTATTTAATTGTTTCGTAATAAATATATACTAGTTTATTTTATATAAAAAAAAATTCGAGCAGCGTTCGATCGATGCGTTAAAAAAAAAAAAACATATCATACAATTTAGAGAAAAAAAAAAACAAAAACAGATTTTAGTTTTACAATTATTATAGATGGCTTTTAACTCTTCCATCTAACAATAAGTAGAAAAAGTTATATTCGAGATATGTACCGACCGATGTTTAATTAAGATAAAAAGATCAATGATTTTTGATATACCTCCGAGAAAAAATGATCTTGAAAATAAAACTATGTATATTTTTATAATTCTATTTCAATCCTCTTTTCATATGGTGCAAATATATTTAATAACATTTACTAATTACACTCGCCCCCCCTACATAATCATGTAAGTGTGCGTGTTAAATTGAAACATCTCGTTTTTACGTATTACATACGTATATTAAAAAAATATCACGTGTAATTAAAAAATAAGAAATTATCGATCTCAATACACGACGATTACGTATAGTTTCCAACTATAGAAGCGTATATGTTTTTTATGAAACCATCAAGATAACCGAATGTGATTAATCGATCTATTTTATTAGCAAAAATAATAGCCTACGCAAAACTCCTAATATCGTTTCAAAAATAATCATAAATACACGTTCTCGATATATATCACGCTAAACGATTCTCACTTATTGCATATGTTTTTTTTTGTTGTTGTGGTTGTAAAATATATATACATATAATATGTACTCTTCCGTACATACATATAATAGATTATTCTCAAACAAATATATATCAATTCTTTCGTTTTTTTTTTTTTTTTATGTTTTGCGCGTAAGTATAATTATATTCCTTCATTTCCGTACGTTTTTCTTTATTTATTTCGATCCTTGATCGAATAATTTATATATATATATATATATATATAAATACGTACATATACCTAAAAAAAAATGAATTGCATTACAAGTTAACTATACAAATGCAAGATCGTCCAGTAGGAGAGAATATGCTAAAAAATAAAAACTTTTAAAAAAAAAACCTTCGAACAAAAATCAACTATCCAGCAGCCTGACGGATGGGAACGATCTAGAAAATGATTAAAACAAAATACAAAAAATATACAAGCTCCTGCACTGACCTATTTTCTTTGTGATTTCTCGTTGAAATGATCTTCTATATTCCGACATTATAATATTCTAGCGAATTCTAATTTTTCTCTCGTAGGTGTACGTTCTTGTTGTTGTTGTTGTTGTTGTTGTTGTTCTTGTTGATGATGTTGTTGTAGCTGTTGCTGATGTTGCTGTTAGCCGTGCTACTAACGCGATTGGCGCCATTACTACTGCGATTGTTAGTAGCATTATTAGTACTTTTAGCAGTAAGGCAGGGGCCACATCGGATTGGCAAGGGACGAGCAGCAAGATAGTCAACTATCATCTGTCTTACAGTAGGCATGCAGGTTTTGTTGTACCCTGGAAAACACATATCACATGCTACATCAGAACCGAACCGTACACCGGCTTTTATCACGCCATCGTGTTTTTTATCTTTCTTCTTTTTTTTTTTTT